TAGAGCTTGTTTGTCTCCCATTATTGGTAGAAAATTAGTGTAATGAATAGTATTTTTTGGAGAATGTGTGGTTGAAAATTAAAGTAACTTTATTGGTTTGTGTGTAGAATATTTTATTGGGTGAATGTGTGGTGAAAAATCTTACTGTAGCAAACAATTTTTTGAAATAATGGTAGACAAATAGAGGCTAAATGAGAATATAAAAGTGATTTTAAATATATTAATTTACATTCAATGCTACATCAACTTGTAAACGTTCTTACGAACATTAATTTTCATACATGTGCTCTTAGATAAGCTCCAAACACTAATAATATCAAATATTAAAGTCGGTTTCATGTTCGATAATTTTGAGAATAATCGTCCAATGAAGTTAGCCGAATTATTTTACGACACCTGTAATTGGAAGATTAGCCCATCCTGCAAAATGGGTGGAACCCACCACCGCCCCCACGCAACCCCAACAAGAATCCAACTCTCTTGTAAGAGTGCACTTTGTCTAGTGCTTCTCATCCAAAACCCTATCTACTCGTCTGATTTGTATATGTTTACTTTCTTTTTCAGTTTTGAACCTCTAAAATTTACTGAACTAATTTTTCCACCCAGCTTCGGATCTGTCTTCTTTTTTTCCTTTTTGAAGCCTAGAATAGAAATCAAGAAGATGAGATCTATGGATCCATGGGTTCAAACTTGCTCAATTTTCAACCGTCCCTCCCCATATAAATCCTTCAGTTTTATTGGCTTTATTAATAATCCTGTAATCAAAAATAAAAAATTTGAACAACATTCGCTGAAACACAAGAGGCCCATTTCGTCTCTCTCTATATCAGCCATTATCACCAAAGAAGAAGAAACAATGGAGACCCACAAGGAGCGAAATACCTTCAATTTCAAGGAATATATGATTGAAAAGGCCAATTATGTGAACAAGGCAATGGATGAAGCTGTTTCGGTGAAGAACCCACCAAAGATTCACGAAGCAATGCGGTATTCTTTGTTGGCAGGTGGCAAGAGGGTGCGCCCAATGTTATGTATCGCCGCTTGTGAGCTGGTGGGAGGCCACCAGTCCGCCGCCATGCCTGCCGCCTGTGCGGTGGAAATGATCCACACTATGTCACTTATTCACGATGATTTGCCCTGTATGGATAACGATGATCTTCGCCGTGGAAAGCCCACTAATCATAAAGTATTCGGCGAGGATGTGGCGGTTCTCGCCGGCGATTCCTTATTGGCCTTCGCCTTCGAATTTATCGTCACGGCTGCCAATATGGTACCACCAAATCGGGTTCTGGAGGCAGTCGGAGAATTGGCCAAGGCCATTGGTACAGAAGGACTGGTGGCAGGCCAAGTAGTGGATTTAAGCTGTACTGGGAACAATACAAATGTTGGTTTGCCCCAATTAGAATTCATTCACATTCACAAAACTGCTGCTTTATTAGAAGCATCAGTTGTTTTGGGTGCAATTCTTGGGGGTGGATCTGATGAACAAGTCGAAAAATTACGAACATTTGCCAGGAAAATCGGTTTGTTGTTTCAAGTGGTGGATGATATACTGGACGTGACAAAATCCTCAGAAGAACTGGGAAAAACTGCAGGGAAAGATTTGATGGCTGATAAGGCAACTTATCCCAAATTGTTGGGATTAGATCAGGCTAGGGAATTTGCTGAGAAATTGAACGAGGAGGCTAAAGAACAATTGGCGGAGTTTGATTCGGATAAGGCAGCTCCATTGATTGCTTTGGCTGATTACATTGCTCATAGGCAGAACTAGAATGATGCTGCGGATTCTTACAATATTTTACTTTCGTGTTTGTTTGTTGTAGCAATAGCTTAAATCCGAGATTACCGGGAATAAGGTTTAGTTCATTGTAAAAATTCTTGGATGTTAGGTGCTATACTTCTGGATAAAGAGGAATAGCATTGCAATTTTTGTGGCAATGGGCAACAACACTGCAATTTATGTGTATATTTTGTGCAATTTTTGCTTTCATCTGCAATTCTTCAACTGTGGTTTCGAAGTTTTCATTTTTCAAATTTTGCTTGTTGTAACAAGTTACTGAAATTCGTGTTTAGCAAGAATTCGGTTTAGTTTGTCCATTTTGTTGTAACAATCCTTGGATTTTTGGTGCCATAATTTTGTATAAAATGGAATTGCACTGCATTTTTTGGAACAATGAGCAACAACTCTTCATCTTCTTTGTATATTTTTCTGCAATTTCAGTGTTATTCTACAATTCTTTAATGGGGTTTTGAAATTTTTACTTTCCTTGTTTGTTGAAACAAGTCGCTGAAATTTGCATTTTTTTTTTTTTGGAGCGTTGAGCTACATTGCATTGCAATTAATGGAAGGGAAAATTAGGCCTTATACCCCTTTTTTTAAAGTGTTTTGATTAATACCCTTAAACTAATTAAACATTTTAAGAAAGTATTAAATACGTCATAAACCACCTAATTAACTCCAACCAAAAGCCAACATAATTAACAAGAAGAAGCGCAAACCATGAAATCCCCCATTCCTCCTCAAAAACGTTTCCTCTCCCATTGTAGCCCCAAATCTCCAGAGGCGAAGTTACGAGCAAAATTCGAGCAAATCCAACTGTAAATCTCCCAATCCAGAGGTCATCTGTATTCTCTTTTGAGGTTTAAATATTTGTAAGTTATTCTTGCATTGCAGAACCCACAGATGGATTTACAGGCGAGGGATAGGTGTCACAGGATTTGGTGGTGGTGGAGGATGCGAATCTGTGCAAGCAGTGGGGATGTAATGGTGCATTGGATGTGGTTGTGCGATGTGGATCTAGTGACGTAGCAATTTGAGAGGTGTCGACGTTGGTGGCACTAGCGTTCGGGCGGTGGGGCAGCAATGTTTGGGTGTGGTGGTGGTTGGTGCAGGTGGTGCTGAACCCACCACCTCGAAGAGTCGCCGCTTACCTGTGGAATGAAGCAGTCGGAGAAGTGGAATGAAGTAGCAGCCAGAGGAGATTGAAGCAACAGTCGGAGAATCGAACCTTTGGGTTTGGGAAAATGAATTGGGGTTAGGATGGTGGGTTATGGTGTAAAATCGAGTTTCTGTAATGGAGTTGATGGGTGTGGAACCGTCTGTGGATCGAATGGGTGTGGTGGCAGCGTACTACTTTGGGTGTGGTTATGTGACTGAGAAATGTGGTAGCTGTGTGGTTGTTGGCGACTTGGAGCTACCGACGACAATGCACTGGTTCTGCGCCTCTTGGTTTGGGGACTGCCATGTCTTTTAAATTTTGTTACTTTTTTGTGTTTATGTTTTAAATGTGTAAGGATTATGAAAGCGAAATGCAATTTGTAGTTATCATCCAACGAATCTTGTATGGGGTGCTTACATATATATGTTTTCAACGAGTAATCTTCTTGTAAATCAACATTT